AATACATTAAAAAGCTTTAAATCTGAATAGTTTCTTTTCAAAGTTTTGAAGCAGGTGATAAATAATCATATTAATCCAAAAATTATAAAATTGTTGAAGATGTCCCTATTCTTAATGAACAAAATCATACCCAATGAATAAATGTAATTGCGATGCAAGAAATTTTTCGTAATCATAACTAGTTCACAAAATTTCTTTGTTATGAATCTTAACTCATTTTTTTTCACTATTTTGAGTTCATGTGTTGTGATAGGATGTATTTTATAATCTGTGCCCTTTAAATGCCCCAAAAGATAAAAGTCTTGGCGGGTTAACTTAAGTGAAAGTGGAGGCCAAATAATTTTGGGATTTGGAAGAGAAGAATAGTTCTCCAAATATGTGTTTCAACCAGTCTAATGTGTAAGATTCAAATCATATTTCAGCATCCAATAAACACTTGACTTCTCATTTTTGAGTCGCATTCGTTTACAAGGTCAGTTATTTTACTTAAGGATTTCATGCGAATCCCTGAATCAACGTCTCTAACATTCTCAATGTTTTCATGTCTTTTATTGTCTTCGTTCTTTCAATTTTTCCTTTTCTTTTATCATTTATAATTACGTTCCATTATATTCAAATTTTTTAACAATTTTGTACAACTTCAACTTTTTATTAAGTCCTTCGCATTCTAAATACCTATCTACTTGTATATTGCCCTAAAGTAATCACAGGAATTAGCAACATGCTTTGATAAAACAGGGTCAAAACTTCTGATGATTGCTCTTTATAATTAGTAAATTCCACATTCAAAATGAAATGACCTGTTTTTCAATGATGTCAAATATGACGTCATAATTCATTTAAATGATAATTATTTCCCAAATTTTTGTTAACAATAAAATCTTGAGCCTATTTACTATAATATTAAATAAAACTTTTATATATTTCTGTTTGCATATCAATAAAGTGAGGAATGCAAATGGTTGCATGTTTTCTGAAACACCCTGTATATTGACCATACTAATTTGATGTCTGAGTACTCACTCTACCCCTTCGTGGTCACAGGGGCAATACTTTAAACAAACTTGAGCAATGCCGAAATGCAATCAAAATTAGAAATGTAATTTTTCTAATAAACAAATCAATATAGACATCATTTTTTTATTAAAATTATGATGAATACATGAAACATTATGAATGCATGATAAATTACACGCATAGAAGTCTGAAAAATTATATGCTTATATGCTCAGTAAACTGAACTTAATTTACAAGATACAAAAACAGAACCCTTCATAAATCCAACAGGAAGATCTTTTCTTTTTCATCAAAGCAGAAATTTAATAATGTTCTGACTAAAGAACAAGTACATGGGGATAAATCTATATCATCTGACAATTTTTTTTCTTATATTGTACAGTGTATTTGAAAATAACAGGATACATTTTCTTTTCCTTGTGCGCTCGTGTATGTGTTTCGGTATTTGTTATTCCTTGTAGAATTAAACATGCTTTGACTTACAATGTTCAAATTTTTAAGTGTCAGATTAGGAAACAAAGAATCAAATGGTTCTGATAGACTTTGTTGTTGTCATGTATATTGATAAATGTTTGATGTCGATGATAAATAATGTTAATTTCTTTTAAATGCTAAGAGGATATCATTTGCGGAAATGAAAGATGATATAAAAAATCCTTTCTGAATTTTATTACATGTTCAAATATAAATGAGCCTTTTCTGTTGGATTACCAGCAGATATGAATTAATTTACCTTAAAAATAATTTACTTCCTAATCATGTTCATCTGATCTTTTATCACTGGAATGTATGGATTTTTACAGCATTACAATACTATAGAACGCTTTGCTACTTTTCCAAGAGCTTTAGTAGATGAATTCGTTGATATTCCGTAAATTCCTTGTCAATACTAAGTACACAGTTATTTGCTGAGAGCTCTCGCAAAGTTGGATGACTTTGTATTGAGGTTAATTTGTCCGAATAAAGCTTTCCTTTCTCTAAATTTCTAGATTCTGAGTGCAGTCTGTAAATCACAACTGGTGTACCTGTTGTTATCAAAAAGTAAGAGAACGCATTCAAACCGAGGTATTATGAATCTGCATTAAATGTGAATATTGCAAAAATATTGCATATTATTATGAACGATTTTCCATACAAAATTTCATTAAAAATAAATATCAAAAAGCATTATTGAGCAAACTATTAATGCATGGCAAACAATAATTTGGCCATGAAAAGTTCAGTAATGGATTGAGGTACCTCCAATACGTCTTACGGTTTCCACTGTTTCCCTCTTGATCTGTTGAGTCTGTTTCGGCCTCCAAAATGATATTCCGATCGTTAAAATCCACAAAGAGGAAAACAACCTAATTAGGGTTAAAGTTTTAGTTTAAGTTTTAACTTTAATGTTCAGTTTTAAGTTTTTAACGTTAATGATACTTTGTTTTATTTTTTTCAAAGATAATGATATCTCGATGCTTCTACCTTAAAGTGGATTTTTGATACGTCTTGAGAACTGTGAACGATGATATAATGATAATCACCAAGAAAGAGGTCTGCCAGTCTTCTGTGAGCTTCATAAGAAAAGGGATTAAAACTGATTACAGCTGGTTTCCTTTCTAACTGGATGGCCTTGCCTTGATCAGGCGTAACACCAACACCTGTATTTCTCTGAATTAGGATACAAGAATGAAAATTTAAAATAAAATTCATAAATTAATCTAAACCGCTTTGTAGCCCAAAGGACACAAATGGCGGACAACAATGTATAGGTTTGTTACATTTTATGAACATTACATGTCTTTATTTTGATAATATTAAAGAATACATTACATTGCTGCCTTCTTTTATCATAGTGGTGATCTTGATCAGCAAAATAAGAATTATGAACACGAAAATAATATCCACTAAAACAGAATTTAAAAAAAGAAAAGAAAAGCATTTGAATAGCATATACGCAGAGAAATACAACACTATTGTTGTAGTCTTGATCTAACATTGTACGAATTTATTCGATATATATATATATATATATATATATATATATATATATATATATATATATATATATATATATATATATATATATATATATATATATATATATACATGAATTGATTCTCTATTGCTTCAAAATTATTCAGCATTGCATTATCTGTTTTAATGGGATGCGTAGGAACTCGTTCTTTGAAATAAGATAATAATCATAGAATTCGCTACATCACTATCACATTTGACAACTAGATTTTTTCCCTTACCCCAGTATGATGTGATTTCTATTTTTTTCATATAGTTGATGTTCTCTTTGCTTGACTTTTCAAGTCTCTCATCTGTCTGTCCTTGTTCTTTTATCTCCATCTAGTTTCGGACATTTTTTTCTGTAGCTCTTTATACTTTCCTTCAATATCCATGTGTTCTTGGGAAAGAATGTTTAATTTGTTTTCTAAAGTGGAATAGCTTTCTGTATTTTTACCCATAAGCGTCTGCAGCCTAGAGTTACAATTCTGAAGATCAGCCTCCAGTGAAACAATTCTCTTATCGTTGTTTGCTATTTGTATCGCCATATCATTTTCCTTTTTATATAAGGTATCATTTAATTGCTTAACATTTTCCTTGATTTCTTTAATTGCATTATTATTCCTAATTATCTCCGCACCAGATTTGGTTGAGTATGACTGAAGGTTCTCTATTCTTTCAAACATTGATTGACGATCAGTTCCAATCGATGTTAAATTATCTTGTATATGACCTAAAGTTAATTTTAGCTTATCTATATCTGAAGATATTTCAATCAAATTCTTGGCATATTCAAGAGATATTATTTGCTCATTATTTTTTCTTACATCCTCGTTTGTCATATACGAATTATAGTACCACATGAATACTGACGCAAGAACCGCCGGTAAAATTATATATACCAGAAGACTCAGTGTACAATTTTTAATGAATCCCGGTGCATCTTTTCTATCCAACTGAAACATCTTTCAAATTTCTGAAACGAAGACACAATTGTAAATGTGTTAAAATATTTGTAATTAGCATTGCTGGAGTTTAATTACATTTTTCATTATTTAAAGAAATCCACATTTAATATATAACCTTTCACTACGAATGAAGTTTGTTACAAATCGTATCATTTCTCACTCTCCGTTCCACCGTGGAAAAACATTGGTATATTTTGCGTTAGATAAATTACACGGAGTAAAACGGTGTATTTGACGTACAAGAAAAGGCAAACTTGCATAAATTCTATAAGAAGATGGTAAGTATAATAGTTAGGATGGAGGCGATGGGTAGATGATCCTTACTCACCCTCTTCCTCTGTAGTTAACATGAGGTCGACATTGACTTCAACAAATTAAGAGAAGATGGACTGAAGTTTGTATATTTTATTTATTTTTTTTTCATACAAATCATGCTGCAAGTACACAATGGTATAATTCTATACTTTTATTCATAATCCACGATGAAACATTCGAACAAGGCTACATTTCTATATACATGTATAGTTATTGAAAAGCACGTCAGTATGAAAATTTTTAAAAATACTTACGAGATTTGGCTTTCAACAAAATTAATATAAAAATGTTATATACATATATATATATATATATATATATATATATATATATATATATATATATATATATATATATATATATATATATATATATATATATATATATATATGTATGTATGTATGTATATGTATATGTATATATATAGCTTGAATCCTGGTCTTCGTGTTTTTCGGGATATGCACGTGATCGCTCGTACAATAGCTATATTTCTAAACCCAGGATGACTAAGAGGAAACATTTCCTTTTCATAATAGCTTGGAGAAGTTGTTTTAAAGCCTCGACTCTGGTTCGTTGCAATCATTCTGCATACACATTTTGATAACATGAGAAGCAATATTAAACGATTAAACTGTGATTTTATTATGATAACAAATAAAAAATAACACAATGAAAATGTACATGTATCTGCAACAGTGAAAATAATATTCATTATGGAATGTTTAAAAAGCATAATAAAAATAAATGGCAAAAACAATCTTCGATCAAACACATGTAACTAGAATGTTATTTTTCCTACCTTAATTTCGATAAAAATCCAACTTATGGATACAGAACAATATTCATTAATTCATTAAGTTTTCAAATCTTATAATCAATTCTGATATTTTCCCTGCTATTAATTAATTAGAACACTAAAGAAGAAATTTAAAGAAAACGAACGGTGATCAAGTTCAGAATTTAAAAAAAAACAATTTAAAATAAGAGCAGAACAAACACGGATCTCTTGAAACACAGAGTAGCGGAATTAAACATCAAAGAGATGTTAGCACCTCCTCGGCGATCAGTAACTCCAGCCATGAGCCCTTCGCATTTCAGTATCCATTTACTCCTTCATGTATAATTTGATTTAAGAGGTCACTTGTTAATATAAACCTTTTTACATACATTGAACATAAAATTAGCCTAGAAGAAGAAACTAAGGTAAAATGTACATTATTTTGATTAAAATCAAACTGCTATTGGAAACGGAAGATGAAATATGTATTATAATAACGATTCTAATAAAATGAGTCAGTTGCAATGAAAAGGGGCAAATTAGAAAAATCAATGAAGCGGAGCGAAATGCAAACTTGATCTGTAACTCATCAAGATACACTCACATACCAAACATCAGCTCAATATCTGCAAGCGTTTAGAAAAAAAGTGCGGAAAACCAAGTAGGACAGACTGACAGACAGACAGAGGGACGGGCAGACAGAGGGAAGGACAGACAGACGGACGGACAGACAGAGGGACAGACAGACGGACGGACAGACTCAGAAGAAACCTATAGTTCCCTACCGGTGAAACCGGAGGGGACTAATAACAAAGTCAGAACGACCAAAACAAGTGAAATAACTACGATGATGGTAAACTGCTGTCTATTTGTGTTCTGTAATGCAGCCCACAGCGTGTGCAACCATTCCACTGTATTCTGCCATGTTATTCCAACCTCCTTATGAATGTCAACATTCTCCAGTACTGGATCTAGAACCTTATGGTGAGAAAATATTCCACAGTATTACCAATTATATTAATGTAATTATTTAGTGTATCCTAAAATAAGAATAGCTAAAACCGGAAACTTTGCTGTTGAAAAGCAATAGCTTCAACTAACCTTCCTCGGTTTCATTACATTGTCTTCCATTTTAAATATTTCAAATACCCTATAGCGGATTTCTTAAGCGGGTGTAAAATTTGGCGTTTTGCTTGCTCAAAGGTATGCCATAATTTTGGAGGACACACAGTTCCATGACGTTGTAAAATAGAAAAAGTTCATTTTAAAGATAAGTTTTCAGTACGATTAATATAAGTTTAAAATACCGATTTCACCAAGAGTTTAAGTAAAGACCAACACCAGATGAAAGATACATTGTTTAACAACGGATATCAAACTTATGTTTCTTGTATTCTGCACTTATATGCAAGGGTGCTAAAATAAGCCAAAGTCAGCACTCAGCTAATAATTCTCTCTCTATGGCATTTCATGCACAACTACACTTTGTAATAATTTAGTGTAAGGTTCATTAAAATTCGATTGAACCATCTGCGAAATGTCCTGTGGATAAAATAGCTAAAACAATAATAATGTCACCTGACTTTGTTCGGGGTGATATAATGATTTGTATTTAATCCAGGGATACGGGATGAAAATCTAGTCATTGCAATGCAGGTGCCAATAGTTTTTTTTCAGACGTCCCTGACTATCATTACCGAAGGGTGAACATCTAATGAAGTGCCTAATTTATTGTCACCAGACTATTATGAAGGGCTTAAGGATTTGTGTTTAAGAATTTCTTGGAAAGTCGGGTACTGTTTCTTCCATGTTACATTATCATCAATGATTCTCATAAACATTAATTCCTCTAAACAATTTAAAGAACTGCATGAAATATGGAGATAACGAACATTATTCAAATGAGGAGCAGAGCAAACACGGACCTTCAAAAACATTAGAGGTGGGGTCAGGTACCATGGAGGACTGACCATCCCCTGCCGACCGGTCACACCCGCCGTGTGCTCCTTGTCATGATCGGGAAAACGGAAAAATCCATAGACAATTCAGTGTGTAAATAATGGCCTAACAATTAATATGAAAAACGCCAGTCATCATTTGACTTAATAGGTTGTATTTGCTGACAAGGTCATTGTATCAGCCATAAAACTTGCGAAATGAGGACTTCAAACGAGACTGTTGATATCCATGTTTCATCAACTTGTTTGTCAATAGTTTGCCTCGTTTAAGAAAAGAACATGCTCTTGCGTATTGAATCAACTGGAAGACAAAATCCCCATATGCAGGTGATAAGGGTATATTGCTACATAAGTTAGGGAAGCTGACGATTGACTATATAATTTGTTAAATAGTTTATGGATTAGAAATTATAGGATGTAAAATAGAAATATCTATACTCAACCTGTTTCAAGAATTTCAGCATAGGAACGTCTAACTCTGGATTGTTCTTCGCTGTCCCTGATCGAATTTCTTCTATATTATCATCACAGTAATTCGTGCAAAGAAAATAATGTAAATGAGACAGCCCGAGCGTTGTTTTGAACTTAGTCTCAAACTGATCAAAATCTTCTTCATTTTCGGTCCTTCTATCTTTGTTTGTCAATACACCAAATAGTGGAATATCTGAAAAAGTATGAAAAAATTTATTTCTGTTCATGTTTTGAGTACGAAATATCGAAAGTCAGCTGAGTATCGAAAATACACAGTACAGAGATGATCATTGTTTTAGAGACAAAAGAAGACCATCTTAAATGCAATGTGTCTAACTAATAAACACCCACAACTGCTGTCTAAGGTCAGTAGGGCGCTAATTCATGTATAAAGTATCACCTCTTTTTCTCCACTGTACTGAAGATACAGCTTTCATGAGTTGTGTCGGTAAATTAGGATTTGTTGCTGAAGCAATGAAAATTATCCTGTCGATCTTCTTACTTTCTGGGGTAACTGGATACTTCGCATCAGTGTACATCCGTCCATACTTTCTGTAATGAAGACATAATTCATGAAAACTAATACATGATAAATATAATATATACCTTTAAAAGGTCAGGATATCCGCTCCTCATCCATGAAAGATAACTCTTTAAATTATTTTTTAATTTAAAATGTGTCAAATGAAATTTGAAATCGAAATCTTTTTATGCAAGAATATTCATTTCATGCATCTTAAAGGGTTTTTATCACGTCTCAAAATTTTTTGATAGGACAAAGTTTACATGCTATTAAAATCATATATTTAAAAATCTTTGCTAGAAAATTAATATTTTTGATGTTTCAGCGATTCAAAGTTTGAATTTCTCAATATGCATATTTTGATCGCCGATGTTACGCGCCATTGCTCTGACGTCATAGGTGTCAATCCTGGTCAAGCGAAGTACTTATTGTGTATACAAAACGGCTCATTTGTTTTGTCTATTAAACCTGTAAGAAAATAATTAAGTGATAATTTTATAATTGACAGCTAGTAAGGTATAATTTATGCTTTATGATGCACAAATGTGCACAAGAAAAGTTTAAGGAAGAATTTTTTTCCACATTTCCTGGACTTGGTCGAGAGATGAAAGGGGGGCCTTTTTCTGCAAATGCGATGGCGTTTATCTCCATTCAGAACAATCGTTTATGCCCGATCGATCACGATTTTTTTTTCTGTCTTATAAAATATTTTAAGGAAAGATACCTTAAAATATATTAAATGACAAACACACATTTTTTAAAAGTCGCACAGAATCTAGTAGGAATGTTGTGAACTTCGTAATGGCGTATGGCGCCATTGAAGAAGTGTCATTTCTAGTACATGATATTCACTGCTATAACGGATAGAAGACATACAGGATTTGTTTATATATAATAAATTAAAATAACAATGAAGGAGAATTTAAAATTCCCATATTTATAAATGTTTACGAAGTTAAACTTTAGTAATTCGTTCTATTTAGTTGAAGTCCCGAGTTGTCAACGGCTTCGTCTTCGGTCACCTCTCTCCAATTGTCGGCATATTTTCTGGTTATTTCTTTCTGCTAGACGTTCATACATAAAAGATTGACCGTCCATATCCAAAGAAATATAGCCGATGTCAAAATTTCAACCGGCCATATTGTGTATTCTATTTATTTAGCGTAAAAATCTATTCAATATATTTTTTCTTACGATAAGCCTTACGAGTTCTGTTGACCATTGACACCTATGACGTTTCAGTACCACGTGACCCCTATCTAATTAGTGGTGATTTTTAATTCAAGGACCCTATATTACGGGCGTTTTATCGTCTTATTACGGCCGTTTTCAACATTATTTCATAATTAAACGATAATTATATGTTTCAAGAATATAATAGTGTTTCATTTTTAAGAAATTTAGATACGTGATAAAAACCCTTTAATATGATTCAACGTTCTTTGAAGTCTCAGAAACGGTTTTGCAAAACGTAGACGTTGTACACCATAAAAACACATCTTAAGACAAATTGAATTTTCTTTAATCTAGCCTTAGTTACCAATACTGTGAACATGATATGGAATTAAATGTGATATGTAATGTCTTGCAATGATTGCACAAGCTTTTTACGTTATGTATTATATTAATTAAACCAAATAAAAGATCTAAAATACCGTGTAAGTATAAAAAAAATTATTTTTTCTGAATCCCAAAGTATCTATAGTTTGCATCCTATGATATACTTGTTGATCAGTTTGCAATTAGTATATGTGTATAGTGTTTTTGCTTTTATTCACGAATCTTGAAAATATGTTAGAAATTTGATAATGTTCGCTATGTAATATCATTAACTTTAATGATGAACTTTGAAGAATTTCCATTGGTAAATACATATTACTTTGTGAATTCAAATACATATTTGTGAGCATTTTCAATTATTTAACTGCTGAGTTTCATATTAATCTGAGGATCGGACTACCTTAGTGCAAGAATTTAAAACGGCAAAGCAAGTGCTTTGATGCATAACAAAAAATCACCTGATATCTTCTGCAACCTTAAAGAGTGGTATGTTATATGGAATTCTCCCATAGAATATGAGATTTAGAAGCTCATGTGTCATTTCATCATCAGTATCTTCAAATCCTGCTATATCCAAGAAGTTTGGAAAATTATATTCCAGGGTGTTATCGTCGACAATGCTTGCATACTTTGTCACAGGTAGCCTACACCGCAGAACAAGCAAGACACAATTATACAAAACTTGAATTTCATCACGTGAATATATATTATCAAAGTTTGTCCATTGATAATAAATTAAAAAATATATATTTTTAAAAAAGATTAGCCCCTCAGACATGAGCTCTTGGGATATATTTTTCACTGGTAAAGGGCAAATAGCTTACTCCCATCATGAGTAATATTTGCTTGCTTAATGTCCAGAAATATTTTCAAGGATAGACTCATAATAAATTTTCAAAACATGACCACTGATTCCAATCCTAGGGGATGAACTCTGGGCTCAGGGTCAAAAATTTAAATTCTTGGTAGAATTCTACCTGATTATTATTAAAATCAAACAAACTACATATGAATAAAGATGATAATTTTAAATATGACTATGAGTAAAGAAGGTTTTTACACATTTGACATTTCAAAGACATGATTTGGCTGTAGTTTTGTTCACCATCAAAAGATGTTTGAGATGCGTTTTCTGTTGAAAGAAAAATTCTCACTAATTTGACATAATTGTAGTTTCAAGTATAGGAATTCATGAGAGAACTGCTATATATGTAATTGACCGTGATGACTTATTTTAGGAAACTTTTAACTTCTTATTGTTAAAACTTAAACAAGAATTAGAAGTTTGTTTGACTAGCTAATTTTACAAGTTTACTATAGTGATTACTCAAGTTAATTCGTATTATCCGAGCTGCTTATTTACTTTTTAATAGACGTATGATTTATAATTTGAAACGCCATTTATCTACATATTGATAAGGACTCCTACACAGCAATATTCTGGGCTTCAAAATTAGCGATGGTACATATACCATAATTATTCCTCTGTCATTAAAAGTCACATAGATTTAAACTGAGTAGATATTTTAGAGAGATATGCTTCATATCTGTTACAAAATGTGAATTGAAATTTGTACTCCCGGATATGAATGAAGAAAAATATTTACTCTTTACTTCAACAAAACTCTTTGATCTTGGGTTTTAGAGAAAACAAAATTCTGCGTAGCATACATGTATGTAGAAGAGGACAGAATCAAACCCAAAATCATTTTTCACATATATATATCTAAATTACATTTGGTGAATTCTAAAGATTTTCAAAATACCCGTTCAATAAAGCTAGTATTAGGGAATTCACTCCCTTCTTGGTCATGAACATGACTTTGTAAATGCTAGAATGTAACAGCTGGAGATGAAATATGAAGATAACGACCAGTAATCAATCCAATAGTCTATTATAAAAAAATACAAATTTAGAGCAGAACAAACTCGAACCTCTATAACGCATCACCGATGGGATCAGGTGCCATGGAGGAGCTCTAACTATAAGCACATTTGCAGACTAAATATCGCCGATAACTATTATCTAATGCATTTCATTTTACAAATGTACTGAGTAATTGATTGAATTACGATTACATATTCTGATTAAAAAAAAGATCAAAATATCCTAACAAGACTGAAATCCACGCAAATGCACAATCAAAACCTGATGTATTTTACACACTGCAAAAGGCAACTAAAGTACACCTAAAAATTTACTTTGTACTGTATACCACTTAGGTTAAATTGTCAGAAAGCTCTTCGAAGTTAATAACGTGTAAGATGTAAAGCAGAATCAAAATCCAGAATGCAGAAGACAAAACATTCAAAATTGCTGGTTGTGCTTTGTATCTTGATATGCTAGAATACTTGCTCTAGCTGATCATAATTTAATTAAAAATTTAAAAGAAGAATTGTAAAAGTAATTGCCATTGTAGACGATAAGTGATTGGTTTTCCAGTTCCACCAGAATCTCCTGTCCTGGCCCACTCTCTGTATTCTCCAGTTATGCTGGTGATCATTGTGTTGAGGAAGGAAGATTTTCCTACTCCGGGTGCCCCAATTACAGCTACTGTCAATGGTGTCTCTTTCCTTCTTCCGATGCGATTTTTTAACGCTTCAAGGGCCGCTTGCTTTTGTTCCTCTGCATTCGACATAAGTTCTCTTGTGTACTATTGTAAAGACCAACTTAAAATTAATTTGGATAGTTCGTTCCATGACGATAAGCAAAATATAAAAAAAGATAGTTGTATTTCATTTGTCCTGAAAAAAACTTATTTAATTAAACAAAACTTTTAACAAAAATGAAATACTTACATCATCACCTGTCGTCTCTATAAATGATGTACTTGAAAAATTGGTTTCCTGAAAATGTTAAGAGTGATGTATATCTTGATTCTTTTTTAAAACTATTCAAGGGGTGTTCTCAAATAGATAAAAAAATATTCAAAGTTAACTTACAACGATATCGGTGTTTACTTCTGCGGCCATTCTACATGAACAAGTTTTCTTCTGAGAAAACCGGAAAAGAAGTAGTTAGTATATTTTTTACTGATATGCGTGTGAAAAGTTTAATAACAAGTCAAACAGAAAACATTTCGTTCACGGTATTATATATTCTGGAATCGATTTGTTTGTGCATCTATATTTAAGTGTAGACTGAAAATGTTGTTTCATAGTGCACTAAAACATATTTATCCTTTCTGAAGTTCAATGATCAAGCTCGTATAGAAATAAAGTGGCACATATTACTTTCTTTGTTTTATGGCATCAACAAGAAGCACGATCAAATATGGATTCTCAAAAACTCCAAAGAACTGTTACAACATTTAGTATCAACTAATATTTTTTTTCTAAATCAGTTACATCAAAACATAAGACTTTTCTACACTTGATACAAAATTTATCAATAACTTTTGATATCATAAACAATTGCTCATTCAAAAAATTTTCTTATCTTGTGATTGGTCATCTACAAAACTAAATTCTCAAAATTCATTCTTCACACAATATCTCTGAAGTTGATATTAAAAAGAAGCTGGAGTTCCTCATTGACATCATATTTGTAGTTTTGGCAGACCAGTTCTTCCAACAAACTGTTACTAGAGAATGACATTACTGGCAAACTAACGAATAAACTTTATGACAAACGCGTTGACATAAACTTTTCTGTTATCAATTTCCCTGATTAATGTAGCAAATTACCATAATAATTTGCATATATGGCATTTAATTTTTCAGGTTGAATCTATACATAAGAGCATGTTAGCGAATGATCAATTTCCAAACCAAGGCAGGCGACTGATAAAGAATTTGATGCAACAAGGGTATGAATAATTTCGTTTAAAGCGAACATTTCACAAATTCTATGTCGATAAAATAACTTCGTTTGTGATTAGGAAATATGTTGACTGTCGTTTTTAGGCCATTATTTTCACGCTGATTTGACTCTGGATTACTCTGCCTGACAAATGGCTCATGTGTGTTGTCGGTCCACTAGGGATGCTTTCTTATCCATGGCTACTTATATCATATATCCATGTTCTGGCGTCTTTGTTTGCTCTTCTCTCAATTTGTAATGTTCAATTGGTTTATAGAGCATAATTACTGATCGCTGTCTTCACATTTAATCTTTATCTGTGCAATATTTTTTTCATCTGCAGCAAAAACATCCCTCATTTTCATTTTGAAAAAAAACAACTAATTCCTACCTGAATATTATGCAGTTTTGTACAAAAAGGGTTTATGATGAATATATATATGTAACTCTCGATATCTCGAAGTCCGGGGGACCGAGGAAAAACTTCGAGAGATCAAGAGTTCGAGTTTTCAAGAGTCCGGAATTTTCCAGGTTTGTTGACAGGTTTTAAAATTAGTCTTACCGGATGTAATGATTTTCATGCAGTGCTAACCTTTACACGTGCTTTTTATAAAACAACGATATATTTTCGTAATTCAGATGTATATTTCATTAAACTGAGTAAAGCAAAAAATGTACGTCGTCATTTCATGTATATTTATTTATTCTTTGTAATACGGACATCATACTACGCATTCGTTACATGAAAACGACATTTTACAGCGTCGTACATAGCTTTGACTATTCTAAAAATGATCGAATGCAGTTCTGTAAGTATTTGTCCAATAATAGTCGTCATATTGACATTGAGACTGTTTCTGCTTTTTTCATATTTCGTTTAATTTTGACACTGACTCGAAATAAAAATTAAATTAGTGTTTCGTCTTTTAATCAATTACTACTTTTCAATGACACTGCGTCTCTAAATTATCGTAAGACAGTTGATGATTATTATTTTAATAGCATATAGGCAAAATATGATTAATTATAAATCAATTATCACCTTGCAGCATAAGTGTCACCTGAATATACATCCCGTTCCTCGAGACCCGCGTCTCCTGCCTGGGGCCATTTAAATGTATAATCTTGTATACACATAGCCACTTCGAGGTATCGAGGGGAAATTCTAATAGAATATATATAGCGGGACTGCATTTTGACTTCGAGGGATCAAGGGTTTCGAGAGATCAAGAGTTCGAGAAATCAAGAGTAAATTTGCTTAGTTATATAGTGGAAAAATTCGGGACCGGAGACTCACTTCGAGCGATCAAGAACTTCGAGAGATCGAAGTTCGAGCCATCAAGAGTTACCTATATATATATATATATATATATATATATATATATATATATATATATGCAAGGTTTTGTCACCTACTCATTAGGTTAGCGTAAAATGTGTAAATTGAAAATGGAAGCTAAATAAACAAAAAAGCCTGGTAAAAAGAGCAATCAATATGAAACAATGGCAAAACAATTGTATCACATTTCATCCAACAACATATTTGCAAACAATGTCACTGCAACGACCACTTCATTCGCCAAATGTTGACTTGTATTTCCTTCATTATCAATGTCATAAAAATCGATTGACAGCTGGAGATGTTATTGCGTATTCAATTTATTCGGAGCCATGAACACTTAATGTAGGCCATAGTGGTATATTGCTACATAAATAAGAGAAGCTGAGGGATAACCGAAAAATTATTTACCACGCGTACAAACCAGATGAAATATTAAAGTTCATAACATTATATAAAATTATATTAAATGGAATTCAGCCAGCTTTATTTTCTTCTCAAATACTTTTCAGTAAAACATTAAAGGTATACCTCGATTTGAAAATCAACTTGAAAAATATTTGATGACGGTTTATATTTTACACATAAATTTGCAGGTATTCTTCTTTAGATTTAGAACAATGATGAAACGTATTTCCTACTGGTGAACAAATATGAAGTTCATAAACAATATGCAAGAAGTAAATAATGCTTAATGTGGATTTAGGAATTGAGTGTCAATGGTTTATTGCGTTTGTTAAATGATAACAGACTTACGAAGGAGAAATGGAGATATAGTTTACATGTAGAGAGGACTTATATAGGCAGTGCTTGCTGTACAATCCTATTAAATATGATTATGCATAATAAAATATTGTTTAAATTAAGAATGTATCTATGATGTGTCAGATGTTTCCAGGACATTCATGATACATGTTCACTTACACCAATACATAACAAACATAAACAATTTCTTTATTAAGGTCTTCCGTTTTCAACGGAAGACCTTCTACTGATTCTGATGATTAAGATTATTAAGGTCTACTGATTCTGATGATTAAGATTATTAAGGTCTTTCGTCACAACGGAAGACCTTCTACTGATTCTGATGGTTAAGATTATTATTCTTTTTTTTTCTTTGAGGCCTCATATCTCGCTCATTTCTCAACAGATTTTGCTCAAATTTGCAGGGTATATAGACGTTACAAAACTCAATCAGAATGCTGTCAAACGTCAAAAATCCACTTCCGCTTTTGGGTTATCTCCCTTTAAATGAAAATTTAGAAGGCTTCATTTCCAGATAAAGGCTCAGAGACTACAAAAGCTGGAGTAGAAATTCTACCGAATTTGAATAATAGAAGCTTTGAAGTTGTGCACATCTATTTTTGTTTTTTGATTTCTGTGTTCAAAATGGCGCTAGATAGGGGTCAAAAATTAGAACGCCTAAAAGCGCGAAAATTTACACATATTTTACTATGTATCTTTTAAACTAAAAATATTTTGTTAAGACATGTTGAATAAAAGTTGTGCACAATTTTAAGGTCTTTCATTTGGCACCTCCAAAAAAGGGCTGGTCTCTTAAATTAGGGATCTAGGGTCCTTGAAATTTTTCGTTTTGTAACTCAAAAACGGTAAATATTTCAATATAGCTTTCGCTAAAAAAAGTTGCTCTTTAACATATTATTGATCTCATGAACTTGTTATTTTGTACGAGTCTTTTTTAATAAATGAGCTAGAAGCTTGACCCATATACAGGTAACTAGTTTCATTAGACAAGAGAAGGTGAAATCTTTATGCGCATAACTGAAATAAACTTGCTATAAATGATAAACCTATCCAAAATAAATACTATTATTACTTTAAAATAAGTTTTTACGTGTTCTGTGGTTTCATTCCAAATTATTGAGTCACACATTTTCAATACGTCTCGGGGTTTGTTTTTGTTTATAATTACGTAACCGGCCATCCCCCGATCACGCGTGACCTAGATCCAGTGATCAGTGACCATACACTAAACATGCATTGCCGTTCTAAATCTATTCTGAAAACTCAACTATGTATGGATAACTGTTGTTTTTTTTTAATCATATCGGATCTTTCAAATTATTTCATCTTATCTTGGTCATGTTAGTGATATACTTATTAAATTATTGTGGCCGAAATTACAAGAGATCCATTGCGTGTGAACCAGCGACCTGCGTTCGTAAACAAAACATCTTTTCGTCGTTTAATGTTGAAACATACACTATATTAAATTTTTTTTAAAAAGTTGGCAAAAAATAAATCAGTCTTCAACTGCATTTAACTGCGTTTCACATATACCCGGGTTTTGTGTTTGTTTACAATTATGTAACCTAATTATGTAGCCGAGGAAGCAGCTATTAGTGCTCATACACAAAACATTGTCGTCTATATTCATTATACTGACGCAATGATTTACGGAAAATTATTTTTTAAATCATACCGGATCATTTAATTAAATCATTTATTCTTATCTTAATTTGATTTAATTCAAATCCAAAACATTTTATTAAGGACGTATAAAGGTCCCCGATTTCATGAATCCTAATCTTTAAACTGCATACATGTATTTAATAAACGATTTATTTCTCAATTATGTGTTATTATGTGTTTCATTTCGAAGATTCATTGCGTGTTGTTAATTCTGCAAATAATTCCAACTTGACACACAAGGTTTATAGACAAAGAATTCAAAAGAGATATATTTTGAAAACAATAAGACGCATTGCTAAACACTTTTACATTATTTTCTTTTTAAAATGGCTATCTTTATGATTACACCAACTCTGAACATGTTATGTGAAAAACTCTGTCGACTATAGTTTTGCAACTCCAGCATATGACAAGTACATGTGCTTTTATT